AGTACAAACAAGTAAGAGTTCGTACTCTTTGTTGGATTTCAAGCAGTTATGCCATTTATGCACTTTGCTGTAAAGATCCCTCGCAGGACTCCTCTCTTTCTGTGAAGAGGTCACTGAGCCGCATCAGCTCCCCATTGAGGTCAAACTCGATGTGTCTCACATCGCCATTTCGCTGCAGAAGAGCCACATGCGTCTCCATCATCCAAACACAGTCGACCTGTCGATCTGCAGAACAAGAAGCTACTAGGAACAAAGGGCATCGCTACTAGGAGCAAGGGCCTTACTACTAGGAACAAGAAGCTACTAGGAACAAAGAAGCGATGAAGTACAGAAAAAAGCTATTTGTGTGACAAATGGCCTCCCCACAGTCTATCTGACGTCGATCTGACCACCAAAAAGAACAGTCAACATTAACATTCGCTTGCTTTGCCCATACTAACTATGCCCTAGGCTTACAAAATGCTTCAAGTGAAGAAACAAATAAATCATCTCTCTCACAGACTGTGTAAGCTCTGGCACACTTGTAGATGGGCTCCACGACAAGTCCGAGCAAGTGTAAACTTTTGTCAAGGTTGAGCCCTTGCCCAAGAAGATCGTCATTGCGCCAGTTCGGTCAACTGCCGAAATCCTTGTGAGACGTCAACAGCTGAAGCAATACGAAAGCAAATGTATCCGCCGACCCCGGCCGACGCAAGGGGGAGCGCGCCAGGGAATAATGATAGATCCGCCAGAACTCAATCGTTTGGAGCAGAACTCAATGGGTTAAAGCCGTGGCGAAGGGGTGGTTTCAGATGCTTTTGGGAGGCTGGAAAGCTTTTGGCAGGCTGTTGGTGGAAGCTTTTTGGGAGGCTGGTTAGTGGTGGAAGATGCTAGCAAATTGTTTTTTTTCTAGGGTTCCAGAGCGTCCGTTTGACACGGAACGTCCGAGGAATTGGGGCTCGTTTGGAGCAGAACTCAATGGGTTAAAGCCGTGGCGAAGGGGTGGTTTCAGATGCTTTTTGGGAGGCTGGTTAGTGGTGGAAAATGCTAGCAAACCCTATAGGGATCCAGAGCGTCCGTTTGACACCGACCGTCCGAGGAACTCGTTTGGAGCAGAACTCAATGGGTTAAAGCCGTGGCGAAGGGGTG